TATATATACATATATATATATATATATGTATATATACTCTGATAATGTACATCTTATGAAAGCTATTCTGAATTGCACGACGTGTCTCCCTTACAGCTCTCCTCTATCATATTTCTGCTATCGACACTTTATTATTAACTCACTCGCATACGAATATATGCATATATTCTTTGTGTCACAGCGTCCAGCCGTTTCGCTGGTTCGATTAAACTGCAATGACGTATATTGGTTTACTCGACTATAGAACTGACAGAAAAGAATATTAAATACTAAGCATATTTATATTCTAATCGTAATGCGTATCAATGCATTTTCGTATTTTCTGTGTAAAAAAATCATCTAAAGAAGCAGACGAGATGAGCAGATGGAAGGTTTTCTTTGTCAAGGGTGCTTTTCATTTAGTAACACAAGTCGACACAATCACTCTATCTTTTTTGGCATTCTCTGAGTAAAAAGATAGGATGATACTTGTATCGACCTATATCATCAAATAGAAAGCATCCAATATAACGTTCGTCGATAATAAAAGGAATATTGTAGGCAATAAACATAAATTATACAAACAAATAAACAATTTAATAACAATGGACGATACTATTAGATTATAAATATTACTTAGATACTCATAATCTATTCTTGTTTCAAAACCGTCTTAAATAACATTTTAAGATATTAATATATAATTACGTGATTGGTTTCTAACATTTTAAGACTATATTTAAGACTTAAATATTTAAAAACAGATTATGAATACCGACCGGTAAAGCTATAAAACTGCGTAATTGCGGTCCTATGTAAAATAAAAAATAATTAAAAGTTTATAAATTTTATTATATAAATTTATAACAATCATTAATGCTAACGTTAAAAGAGAAAAATTTTTTACTGAAATATGAAGTATTGCATCTCTCTTCATATTGAATTTATATGATTGTAATTCCATTTCATGTATCCATTTTAGTATCTCTTAAAACTAGGCATAATAAAGTGAACATTTAATAAATGTTTCATGTAACACAAAATATCAGATAAAACAGATTCCATACCAATTTCATATTTAGCTTCTATCTATCTATTTATCTGTACTGTTAAATGTAATAATACTTAATCCATAATGTTTAAAATAATGCGTGCAATTTGTAATAATTAAATTAACGTCTATGGCGGAAATTTAATACATTTATTGATTTATCATATATCTGTCATTAAACATTATCTCAATTTGACATCAATTCATTTATTATATAAGCAATAACTAATTATCTTCTACAATTAAATGTATGCATGTATGTGAATATATATATACGTACATATATGTATATATATTATATATATGTATGTACACACATATGTAAATAAATAATGAGAATATTATTTATTTTTTTAATATTTAAAGTATAAAAGTTAAATAATGTAGCAAAAATAAAAACTAAATAAAATGTTTAACTTATATAAGATAATAACATGTATCTAAATATAATTCAATCTCGATATCATAAAAAATATAATACGTTCCTTTATGCATTGTAACGTATTAGTTTTACTTTTCTTTAAATTGGAACGTTTCAAATGTTTATTATTCATTACAACAAATTACTATATGCTTAAAAACGGAGAGAAGCTAAATGGATGGAAAGAATTGGAAGAGGATGATAGAGAGGCTGGGAGATGAACGGTGGGAAGCGAATGAAGAGAGATGATGAATGAAACATAATTTATTTAATTGATACTAATAAATGGTATTTATCTCGCCCACACTCAGTAGTTACGTCAGAATAAAATTTGTACATTATTATATTGGGAAGAGAGGCTGCCATTGTAACACGAAACATTGACGAATAATATAATAACTTAACAAGTATTAATTAGTTACTAAAAAAAAATTAATTTGTTTGAAAATCACATGTTAAAAATTATAAAGACAGTATAGTATTTGTAAAAAAATTGTTTTGAAGTCCATGATCGTTTAATTTGATTGTAATTGGTAAAAGAAAGAAAAGAATAAAAATATATAGAAATTTCAGTAATTGATGTGTACTCTGTATATCAATTACTGAAAATATGAAAATCAATTGCCGGGGCATTGTTCCACACGCGCCTCTCTATTATTCAATTTTCATACAATCGTTAAATTGGTTACATTGTATTTTCTACAAAATGATAGAAAGATCGTTAAAACAAAAAGATAGAATCTATTCCTCTGATTAAACTCTTATGTCAAATCTCATTAAAACTTCATTAATAAGAAATCTATATGTCTGTGGGAAAAGAACGAGATAAGACACGCGAGGCAAAATTTCGAAAGGAGTCGATAAACTATTTACAGGCTGTAGCCTGTATTTACCTGTAGTATCAAGATATATAGCGAGAATATTTTATTCACTACACCCTTTTAATGAGATAGATTCAGCGCTCTGATAAAATATCTAACTTGTTTCCGTCAGCAATGCAACCGTGCTGCACATTGTGTTATTCGTTTTCAGGAGACTCGAAGTTTAATTAATCGCTCCTATATCCGCAATGCATGGAATTGCGCTTTACATACAAGCTTAACTACATTGTAATATGTAAAGTCTGATAATAAACGTTTAACATCGCTCAACGTTAAAAACGTTACCTGCAATTCGCTGTTTTTCCCGGTTCACTAATTAATAATTATATTTTATGCGACTAAAGATACACATACGTTTATTAATGAATAGTTTTGTTTTATATGAGGCATTTATATAGTGAGTCTCCAATTTGCGTAAACATAGGTTATTAAATATATAAATTATTATGAACAAATAGCAATGTGCACGTATTAAAATATTGAAACTAAATTTAAATTAAATCTAAAATTAATGTCAAGATTTAATCGATAGAATTTATTCATTCCTTATTTGATGTTTGAGTGTACTTTTGTTGGTGACGTTATTGGTAATAATTCCATTAAATAGACGAAATAAGAATAGACTGCATTTCTATGAAATTATTATTGGTTTAGAAAGAGTGAGGTTTTTGAATCATTCTTCTCTCTCTCTCTCTCTCTCTCTCTCTCTCTCTCTCATTCTCTTTCTAAAGTATCGAGTTGACGAGAAATGCTAATATGAGTCAATTCTTTCAAACTGAGCACGGATGCTAAGATTAGATAATACGCAGTATATACTTATTACGTGTATAATTCCCGTCGTAAACAACGGAATATTATTCTAAGCGACGATTTCCACAATTAATTGACTTTTCATAGAATCGCGAGAGAAATCCGTAAATGCAGCTTTATTAACTGCATTGCTCGAGAGGTTTTTTTAACGTAATTATTTGCGTAAGGTGTTTCTGACACTTCATTGCGGCATTTATCTCAATTTTCATTGTTCTCCTTAAGATTCACAATTAAATAAAGATTGATAATATTTTATACACACATTTTTCAGATAGAGATAAATGTAAATTTTTTTAAAAATTAAGAAATAATTTGTGCTAAATCTATACAGATAAAATAGTTTTACTGAAGTATCTAAAAAAATTAGATTATAGGTAAAAATCTGAAAATAATTTTGATTGGATCATTGAAATAATTATGTAGACGTTCGAATTGATTGCTAGAATATCAAAACTTTTTACAGTATTGTTCATCATACTTCAGTATCCTATCATTATTTTGATTGTTCAACAAAATTATTTTCAGATTTGTATTTAGCTAAATTTTTAACTTTACTTTAGTAAAAGCATTCTTTCTATATGATAATAATAATCTTATTAAATAAAAGTAATAAAATAACATTACATCAATATTATAATTTCCTATTCAATAATATAAA